CAGACCAATCAAGAGAAATGTTCCCATTGCTGGAGTGCCTCTCATATGTTGCCACGGCTCTCGGACCCAAATTCGCGCCATACGCAGCTGGCATATTCGCCAGGTGCATGAAGATCATCCACCGCAACCTCGAAGAAGGTCAAATGGCGGCTGAGATTCAAGGTTTCGAGCCTCCGGACAAAGACTTTTTGGTAACAAGCCTTGACTTGCTCAGCGCCATCATCCAAGCCCTCAACTCCCAGGACAGCGCGACACTAGTCACACAAGCACCAAACTTCTTCAACCTACTAGTTGTCTGCATGCGGGACCCAAACAACGACGTGCGACAGTCTGCATACGCACTTCTCGGAGACTGCGCCATCTACGTCTTCCAACAACTCCAGCCCCATCTGCGAGACGTATTGACCACCCTCATCACACAGTTAGACGTTTCGCGGATAGATTCTAACAGTCTCGACACTGGATACTCAGTCATTAACAACGCCTGCTGGTCCGTAGGCGAGATTGCCATGTGCCACAAAGAAGGCATGGAGCCCTATGTTGAGCAGTTGCTCCAGAAGCTGGGTAACATCCTCTTCGACGAGCGCGTCCCCGAGTCTCTAAACGAGAACGCAGCCATTGCTCTCGGTCGTCTAGGTCTTGGTAGCGCGCCCTTACTCGCCCCCCATCTCGCTCAAATTGCCCCTCCTTTCCTCCGCGCCATCAGGAAAGTGCAATGGACGGATGAGAAGTGCCACGCACTCACTGGGTTCATGTTGATTGTGCTAGCCAACCCTGGAGCCATGGAGCAATCTCTTCTGGAGTTCTTCAGCGATATGTCTCAGGCTGATCGGAATGTTGTTCGCGGACCTACGGCTGGTCGACAGGTGCAGGAGACGTTCCAGAAGGTGAGATTATATTCACACTTGACCATGCGGAGTACATTCAGCTAACACCGTTATCAGGTCATCCAACAATACAAAGGCATGATCGGCAACTTCGACGCCTTCCTCGGAGGCCTGCCCTCTGAGCAGCAGGCTCGCTTCCGCGAGTTATACTCCGTCTGAGTTCAAACAAATACCGTATCAGCTTCCGATATCATCATTTCCCACATGTGTGTGCGTGCTACCGCGGGCGTTGAATAAGGGGACAAAGGGCATGTCTGGTCTGGATCTCAGCGCTTAGAGGAAGAGGTGGAAACATCGGAAATACCAGATAAGAAGAGGAAATGGGACTAGTGATAGCATTTTCGGCAGGCAAATAGGGGCGGTGGCAGGGTGATATCTATATAGAACATGTGTGTTTTTATCTTCTTTCTTCTAGCGAGCGCAGCGGTTTTCAGTTGTTTATGCGACGAATGAAGAGGCGATGATATGCACGCACGTACGTACGAAACATTTCAAAGGCGTTTTGTTTTGAGCGAATGTAGGTAGTATAGTAGGTAGTCTTAGTTTAGCTTAGTATTAGTTCAAGTTCTCCGTTTCTCTTCCCAGGTACAACAGCGCGTCTGTCGACTTCATGTTCGTTCGTATGCTGACGCAGCATCCTCTTCAGCACATACATCAGTGTTGTTGCTAGTGCTCAACCACGTTGTACACAGCGTTTGCTAACGAGTCTGCGCGCTCTCATCACCTATCTCTACGGCAAAAAGCAGTGGAGCGAGGAGCTCAATCACTCTACTTCTAGCTTCTGCTCGACTGCAGCCACGTCGCCTCCACCGCTCAACCAGTTTCTACTCCGTCCTCACTTACTACCACAGCCCAACGCATAACGAGCAGCAAAAAAGATTGCCAAAAAGGAGGTTCAAATGGTAAAAACATACAACAGCGGGGATTCGCTAGTGGTCACCCACCTAACTACTAATCCGCCGGTACACTGCTTGTATATGGCTGAGCGGACGGGAAGCCTAATTCTCAGTGTCCTATGGTCGTATGTGAAGGATTGGGGATCTTGATGGCTTATCAAGTAAGAAAACAAATGGGGGGAGGTGTGGGATGTGGGCTGGACTGGGTATGCGTAGGATGGGAGATGGAGTGGTGGCTTTATGGCTTAGCGATAGAGTATAAATGTAGATTATGTGGTAATTCCGAAGTAGTGCGGCTGTGTCGAGGCTGACTTTGGCGCTCGCACCTGCCCAAGTGGTGTCACCCGCGTGGTTTGGGATAGCGCTAGGTCAGGGTAGTAGCTGCAACATCGCACAGCATGGCACCACTCCAACACTGCACAGGTCAGCCTCACGTTCGGCGCGCAATTATTCGGGAGTTCCTGGTACATGGAAAACGCTCGAGCATTGGTTTATCACGAGGGCGCCGTAACTTTGGGCTATCCGACGGGAAGGCACTATCATGTCCGGTGAAAGACTTAGTTGAGCTGATTCGATGGCAGATGGATATGGCGGGGTAAGATGACGGGTGAGCTGAAGGTGACTTCAGCCCCTCAGCTGACCTATTCAGCTGCCTTGGCTTGACGGCATATTATAAAGAGACCATCCACTATCTCATGACTGTGCTTATCAAGTACAGCCCCTGCGGAAGAAAGAGACCTCAACGCATAATCTGGAAACTTTCACTGTGACCCCGTCTTCGCGGCTTTAGAACCCCAGGAACGACACACCACCGAACGAAGTCAGTATGTCGGAGAAGGAACCAATAACTGTAAAGCCGACTCTGTTTCCCAAAGGAACTTGTAGCTCCTGCCAGAAGATCACACTGCATAATCTCTTGGAAACAGACATCTACAAAAAGGAGGATTTGGTGGTCGATTATGGTCGATACAGGCATAACAGTTGCCCCATGTGCAAACTAGTCTTCAACTCCATCGATCCTGAAAGTAAGTTGACCGGAAAGATTAGTCTTCGGCTGAGGGTCGAGGACCCCAATGCGGGAAGCGACATGTATACTGGGAGACGAATCCACGAAGTTCGCGTTTCAAGCTACGCAAATGGAGGCAGTAGAATCAAAGGGAAGCTCCGCATATATGCAAAACCAGGTACGTAACTCACTCCCTCTGTCACTGAGCGTTCACCTCTGATCTTGATCCTGGAAGCTTCATACGCGGCCGATTTCGTACCGTATTGGCGAGCACCATCATCCAATCTCTCGGATGTTACGTTCAAGAATATTCGTCGGCGAATCGAGAACTGCAACGAAACACACACACGTTGTAAGAGCCTTTCCGCCCAAATTCCAGAACTGACGCCGCGATACTTGCCTACCAGAGTTATTGATGTTGGCTCTGATATCCGACAGCCGCATCTTCATATTACCCAAAAACAGCAAAGCAATCGGTATGTCGCGTTGAGCCATTGCTGGGGTAACGTGCCACAAGTCAGAACGTTGAAAGCGAACATCCGAAAACATCAAGAAGCAATTGTCTTTGAAAATCTGTCAAAGACTTTCCAGGATGCCATACGCTTCACAAGACGGCTGGGTATCGAATACATCTGGATCGATTCGTTGTGCATCGTGCAAGACCACGAACTTGACTGGCTAGACGAATCGGAGAAGATGGGTAGCATTTACACGAATGCCTACATCACCATAGCTGCAACTTCGGCGACGGATGGGAACGGTGGACTGGACAGCGTCCGTCCTATAAGCGATTATTGGGTCAAATTTCCCTGCGATGCTACCGATGAAAGCAAAGGACACGTTTGGTTCACAGATGCGTCGTGGAGCTCTCAAAGCGACCTTAACGACGCACCGCTCAACTTACGTGGCTGGGTACTACAAGAGAAGATACTTTCGCGTCGGATTATTCACTTCGCCTCTTCGCAAGTATACTGGGAATGCAAGGCAGGCATCTTTGGGGAAGAATGCGAAGCTCCGATTCGTTTACCCGCTGATGCAACCCTGAAACCGTCACTATTCTGGGCCGCCGTTTCCCGCGTCGGCAACACACTCGTCGAACCTGCGAATGGGATTCGCTTTTCAGCCAAGCCAAAACCACGGCTCCTTGGATTCTACGAAAGCTGGAGAACCTTTGTTTGCTACTACAGTACCAGAACGCTAACCAGAAAGAGTGATCGTTTGATAGCTCTGATGGGTATCATCCGAGTCATTGGGAAACAGACAGGGCTTCTTTGTATCGATGGCCACTGGGTCGATGGTTCACGGCAGTTCGTGCAAGAACTAATGTGGTTTCCCAAAAATCAGAGAACGCTATCGGTACTCGGTGACGACAGGCGATCTGAGCTGTGTTCCTCATGGTCTTGGGCATCTGTAGAAGGTCCGATAGGGTATCGATTCTACGCGGAACGCCATCTTGAAACCTGGGGATTCTACGGTCTGAAGGATTGCGATCTTCATCTCAAGGTAATTGGAGATGAAGTTCATGTCCCCTGGTCATGTCACCCTTTAATGGTTTCGGGATTGCTGATAACGTTCGACAAACGCGAATTAGAAGATGACTATAGGAGTAAGGGAAGACGAGCCTTTGCAGTAAAGGCGAATATACAGGACCGTGTCGACGGGTATGTTTGCTTCGACCGCGAGGATAATGAGCCAGAGGCGTTTCAATTTACTCCTGTTTACATCTTTCAAGAGAAAGTCGAATGCCTTGCTTTGGTTCAGTGGAGAGGACCCGAGAGCACGGAGCGATGCTTTGAGCGTATAGGCACGGGATATTTCGAGTTGTTTAGACGGAACGGTTCTGATAACGGTTTCAAAAAAGTGTTTGGAACATGCGAAAGGGAAACGTACTATATATTCTGATCTTGGATTAGATCAAAGCACTCGTATCACTCAGATCCAATTCCTTTTAAGCCGACCGATGTGTAAGTGTGCCTATAGCCTTCCAAGCGCAATGGCACCTAACTAGGCAAGTTGTTTTTGTGCATACATGGGAATGAGCACAGATACTCGCAAGAGACAACGTTGCACGTTGTTTCTAAAAAAAAGGTTTAAACATTTTACAAACTACATTAACGTCAAGCCACCTATTTTGCACATCTCTATCTCAATGTAGGCTGTAGACCTACATAGATTTCGACTTAGATAAGGTAGTTACCTCGGAACCCTCGCTCACACGCTACCGTCATCATACGGACTAGGAGTCTCATAGTCCTTCCTCTCACTTGTGAACCTGGTCCAATAAACCACAAACATCGGCCGACAAATGATCGTCAAAACATCTTCTTTGCTGATCGGCTCTTCCGGCGCGAACTCTCCAATAGAATGAGCCAAGATCGGTCGAACTTCCTCTTTACACCACTTCGCCAGCGCCTCCATCTGTAGTGGAAGTAGTGGCTTTCTGTCCTTACGCACGATAATCGCGCTTCCCACGTCAAGTTGCCACGGCATGGAACACAATCCCCAGCCCATAGATCCGGTACTGAAATCGAATTCGGCGTTGAGATCCAGACACTGGTGCAGGAAGGTCGCGTTCTGGTTGTTTGTAGGGCTGCTGTGTTCGAATAGCTCGTCTTCGCTTTTGTTGGCCCACTTCGGATCTGGCGGGCAGCGACGCGTTAAGATGGGCAGACCAATGCGGTCGGCGATGTCGGAGGTGTCGTGCTTGGTGAAGATGGGATCGGTGATTGGGAGTTCGATGGCTTCGAAGGGTGGTCTCTTTAGCATCTTCACATCGCCCAAACAGTTGATCCTTACGCCCTTCACACGAGCCACATTGGCTTGGGCCTTGGGCGGTGTGTACCCGTGTGAGAGGAAGTAGTCAGTGATATGTCTGAAGTCGACCATATCAAAGTGCCTGCAAGTTGGTGGGTCCATGCCTCTTCCCACCTTCGCATAAGCGACGATGGGACCGCGCCAGTCGGTATACGTCCCTGGTTGGGTGGACGTGATTGAGGCAACGCTCTTGTTTGGCCGAGAGCCATCTATCGAGAATGTATCGCGATATGTGACGAAGATAGTGTCCGAAAGCGGTATGTTCAGTCTCGAATTGTGTTGGATAGGCGTATGACTTGCGGAGACATCGTCTCCGATGATCGCCTTGGTCATGGGAATCTGGTAATTCTCTTCGTCATCCTCTTCGTATTCGTAATCTAAACCGTCGTCCTCATCTTCATCGTCGTCCTTTTCGAGCCACTTGCAGAGAAGCCAGATGAATCTGGGTTTCGCCTCATCGGCATTAAACAAGACTGCACGGTAATGGTCGACACTCGGCCGGCTGGAGATGGCAAATGTGGCGAATGAGGGACAAAGTAACTTGTGAGTGCTCCAGTCAGCTTTCTGACATGTCTTGGAGCAGTAGGAGGTACATTTGCATCGTGCGCAATAGTTCGAGTTCTGTTTGTTGCACAATGTGCACGATTGCGTGACTGGAGGGCTGGCCATGTTGGCTTATCGACATAAATTTGTGGGAGGGCGGGTTGGTTCATATATCAGCAGACGATCTCATGTTGCTACCGCTATCGGAAGACTGTGCGGGGTTTATGCGCAGGATGTCGCACAGCATTTCTCTCGTCGAATAGTGAGTAAACGCATAGCAATGCATGCGTCTGCATGCCGCGCGTCTACGGCATGCCTCGTGTATCTTCCATGGTCTCAAGTTACTGGACTTTCAATCTGACCCTTGTTCAGAGACTCACATCGACTCTGAATTGCTTAATCGAGAGTCTCCGTGATATCTAGCTAGGCAGCATGATCTTACACGCATTCTACTGAGCTCCTTTCCTGACCAGTCTTGATCAAAGCAACCACGGCTCAAACCGGAGATACCCAGCCATATCCGGGTTCTCCTCTCTCTGTTCATCTGTTTGCCCGTTCTCAAACTCCGAATAGTAACCACATCTTCCTGTCGCACACGTCCAGAACCCCAAGTTGGGTATAGTCAACGCGTCAGCTCCTGCCTTATCCTGGCGACTGGCTATTCCGCAGTGACACTTTGGATTATCACTGCTCATGCCGCGGTCATCATCCCATGTTATCCACCCTGTGTAGTGATCCCCTAAACCTTGCGTGCCTCTTGTCTTGCAACGAACACATTTGTAGTATGGACGGCCTGCGTTGCCTTTCTGGTTGGTCGCCTTGACAATGTTTCGGAATCTGGGTTGCCAGTTGCAACGGCGGCATCGCGGTCTGGGGTAAAGAGGAAATTCCGGTAGTTGCTCTTCATCCGTGGCTCCTCCAATACGGAGACGTTGGAAGTCTAGGTTGCGTTAGACCCTGTCAATTCAGACACACGTGTGAGTATAGTGATTGCGTACCTAGACTGTTGGGGTCTGCATCGTCATGCGCAACCTCTTGCCTGCGAATCGTTGCCATCGTTCCTTGGGCTTCGAGCGTATTTGGCGAACGAGAAGGATTATAGTTGTGATACGAAGGGATGATTAGGGTAAAGAGAGGCCGCCTTTGTCCAGATTATGCGCCCCGCGCCCAGCTCAGCCTTGTGTAACAAGGACAGCAAACACATTGCGCCTATCATCACCCTTTCGGTAACCGATGCGGCAGAGTTGCATGATACTGCTAGAATCTTCCATGGATTTTGATAAGTGGCTGTGTATCGCTTCCGCGAACAGCACTTACGACTAACTTCGATGGGATTCAAACTGCAATGAGATATATATGGCATAGTCGCTACGGACTCCATCCATCACCGCTAGAGCAGGCACTCACATGTGAGTTAGTTTCCGTCCACATCCAGCAACCCAACCTTCATCGTTCACTGATGACCACAAAGGCACTCCGAGTCTTTACAAGCCCTTCCATCCTGACACAACGTCAAGCGAGCAACAGCTCGCAAAGCCACCAACTGCTTGTTACTCAATTTAGCACTGTGTTGATGCTGGCAGTTTCCAAATTTCTCCAGATAGGAACACCTTCCAAGCAAATAGAACTGGTTGCAGAGCCTGCGACCTTTCATCGCCATGAAGTCTTTGGACGTGTAGCTCAGCGGTGAGTCCACACGTTCGCCAGATTTGTTCAGAAGTACCGTAGCAGCTGTGGTAGGCTGCTTGGCGACAGCGGGGCTCTGCGCTTTGGACGACGAAGATGAAGAAGGCCCTGTTGGAACCTGCGCAGCGACCATTGCGTAGTCTGTCGATGGTGTTCGTGGCGGAGTGGGGAGAGACACCGTTGCGCGCCTCGGGGTGACCACCAGCATTTGACCCCGGAACACGTTGTCGAATGATACGGTGTGGTATCTGTCCTTGATCGCAGCTAACTCGCGGGCGAACGGCGGGCCTTCCAAGAGGGTGATACGGCTTCGTACTGCGTCGTCTTCGTTATATGGGCCCAACAATCGGGCATAGCCATTGTCGGCTGAGCCACCGAAGAGGATTTGCTGACAGTGCATATCTGCTAGATTATGTCGAAACATTGCTTTGAGAGATGAGTGTTTGTGTGTCAAGATTGGGCGATGTATTGCGTACCTTTGATCTTCTCATCCGAACACTCTTTGCCGTTGCCAGCATCAACATAATCACACATGGGATCGCCCATATTGAAACCACGTACGAACTCGTCAAGTGAAGCTAACTGTGGGAGAATCTCAGCGTCTTTGTATGTCTTCGCCAGGCCCTTCATGTTCGCGTAAACACGAATGACCACCTGGATATGGTGGGCCAACGCAGGTGGAGATGATCGAAGTTCTTCCTCAACAGCTTGTTTGAGTAAGCCGGCGGCTCTCTTTCCACCTTCTAGTCCGGCTTTCACAAGGTCATCATTGAACTGAAACCAGGTTAGAGTTGACGGATGGTTGGAGGTAGAAGACTTACCAGCATACAGTCACCATCGATCAAAACGGATGCGAAGGCATGACGAGCCTTCTCGGCTCGCAAAACCTGAATTTGCTTCTCGGCGTCTTCGATACGATCGCGTGTCAACTTGATCACGTCTTTCCGATCACGAAGTTCATACTCGGCTTCTGACAAACGAGCCGAGAGATCGTCCACATAGGCGAACAAGTTCTGCATGGAAAGTAAGTGACTGGAGAAATGTTGAGGGATGGTTTGCCTACCTTGATCAAAACATGCTTCTGATCATCGTTCGCCTGGCAAGTGTCCCACACACCTTGCAAACACTCCAACTGCGCTTGTGGATCTTCCATTATGTGATCTCGAAACGTTGCAGACGCGAAATGGTCTCAATGATGAGACTCCTGCAGCAGAAAGGCTGGGAGAGCGCAGGAATAAATAAGGCTGTCGATGACTGGGCTCACAGGTAAGTGCCTAGAGGCGCAGCACGATGCACGTTACACAACATTCGTCTCGTCGAATATTCTTCGAACGCATAACAATGCAGGCGCCAACGAACCGCTCGTCCAATCGTTCGCATAGGCAGTACATGTGCATCCATCCTCATGTGCTGTACATCCTGGTCACATAGCCCCAGCGGCACGGTCCGGTGTATTGAATGTTGCCTCAGGCATCTTTTTCTGAGAAGAGCGTTGAATTTGAGGATTTGACGTGACTGTAGGCGCTCGATGTCATTGCGCAGTATGGCTTGGCCGGACAGAAGAACTCGTGTATACCAGATACGCCGCCACCAGCGCTTGCAACTAGTTCAGGTTGCGATAGATGCAATATCTCGTCGCAACAATGCGGTAATGAGTGGTATAGATAATCACGTGATCGTCAACCTTTACCACAGCCCAAGCTGAGGCTGATTGTTCCGGGCACTCATGATCTCGCGATTGAATCATAGGAAGATTCTGATGTTGTATGACAGCGCGACATGCGCAATGAAAAGAAGTCTGAAGGTCGGTTCCCCGCTCAGCGCCGCGGGATAGCTAACCATGCAAATGATGTATCTTTGAAGGACCGATAACATCAAGATACTTCTTAAAAGAGTTCGGTCATGTGAGAAGACAAAATAGATGGAAGAGCACATGCGGATCTTGGGATAGCTATAGTGGATGATGGTGCAGGTTATTGGGTAGTGCAAACGCTGATCGGCACCGGTCTAGCCTCGGCGATAGCGTGAGCGGCTGGACGATGATGGGATCACAGCAGTGGAGGAATGAGGCACAGGACACAGCCGCTCAACACTTTCCCCTCAATCTCGGCCTCATAGGGCGCGTACGATTATAAGATCTCTCTGCCCCCATCTGCCATTGTTGGGCATCGATAGCACGCTGAATCATCCGCCCCGCTTCGCCAATCGCGCGCAACACGGTACCACTATCATCACGCCCAACGTCCCGTACCGTCCGCCGTATCGCTTCGCCGCCCCACAAACAGGCTAGCAGGCTATTTATCAGCAAGCGCCCGTCCGAAGTTGGACGAGATGGCCTCGCGCACTTCGACACCTTCGCGGTCGCGTTCCTCCTCCAACAGCAGCAGCTCTTCCGACACCACCATGATAGACGCGCCGCCGCAATCAGCCAGCCGCCCAGCGCGCCTCCGCAACCCTTCGCATGCGCGTAGCGCCGCACTGCCCACGCCTACAGCCTCTCAGATGCCGACCCACGAAGTTCTTCCCGATCCGTGCTTCTCGCTGCTCTTGTCTCTGCCGAGAGAACTCCGCGATCGCGTCTACACATATGCCCTGGTTTCCAACACGCCGTTCCTGTGGCCCGGTGCCGTGTCCCAATCCGCGTACAGCAAACATCGCCATGTCAGCGTGAACCTCCTCCGGACCAACAGGCAGGTTCACGACGAAGCCGTGATTGTCTTGTATGCACAGAACAAGTTTCTATTCACACATCCCAGCGACTGCAACATCTTCCGCGTCGTCACGTCTCCCGCCTCCGCAAACATAACGAGCGTGTACATCCGCATAAAGGACAAGGACCTGCCATTATGGACGGAATATATGGGAAGCGGGAAGGAAGTGAGGAGCCTAAGAGCTGATCTGCCCAAGTTGAAGAGTCTCTGGGTATTCCTTAAATTGGGAATGTGCCCACACTTCATGTCAGGCGTACTGGCTGGGATACAACGCCCAATGCTCGGACCCCAACCAGCGGGACACCTACCGGCGGTTCAGAATGCTGTGGGACATCAGATACACACCCTACAGCAACATGTCCAGAACGCCATAAACCAGGTCATGACTACCGCCGGCGTGCAAATCGTCGGTGGCACAGGCGGCCATGCGCATACTCCTGCCAACGCGAATCAGGTCCCGCCTCCGCCCCCGCCAGCTCCCGCTATGCCGTTTCCGCAATTCATGCAAGGAGCGTTAGGCATGGGCGGCCATGGACAGCAGCACCAACAAGCGATGCCAGCACCGCACGCCCACGGCCAGCACAACCACCCGCCGAACCCCAGTCCGCTAGCACAACATCTCCAAGCCCAACAGGACAATTCCACCGTCCAGGTCATACACCCACCTGCTCAGCAAACACCACCACCTACAACCCCCACAAACAGCACAGACCCCAACAAGCTCTACTCCGGCATGATCCGCTCCAACCGCTTCAAAGTCGTCACATCACTCTGCCTCCAACTCCACGACGTCCTCCACACCAAACCCCCTCCGTCTGCGCTATCCCCCGTATCCTCCACTTCCATCACCCCTACTGAATCGTTCGGCACACGACTACGCCAAATCTCACAACATCGACTAGTCACCCTCGATCGACCCTGGACTGATCCAACTACTGGTGCTAGCGCCACGTCCGGTAACCCCTCCCGCCCCCCCAGCGACCCCAAGTCTTTCCCCAAAACAACGAAAATTGAGACCCTTCCACCGCCGTCCAACCCGGAGATCAAGATTGTGACTATAGTACGACCGGGCAAGAGATTCGTCAAGAGGCTACTTGAGACTTTTCCGGATGAGCTGGAGGTTGATCCCGTGACAAAGGATGCGAGGACGAGGTTTAGGAAGATGCATGGCGTGGATGTTAGTTGGGAGTTTAATGGGTTGAGTGATATGGAGGCGAGCAGCGCGGGAGGGGTTGTGGTTCCTTGGGATGGTGGGTGGTGAGAGGATGTGATTGAAGAGGGGAAGGTCAAGACAAGATTGGTATGGTGGTTTGGACCTCGAGGGGACTATTGAGACGCTGTATTTCGGTCGGGTGTTACAACTTTTCTCATCTCGATAACAAGACCTGGCCTCGTTCATCAGACTTTCATATACCAAAGCCCTAGCAGCGCAATACCCAACCCCTAAGCATAAACATAGCAAAACGGCCCCCCAACCGTACTCATCGCCTCCCTAATCGTCACGTTCCCAACCCCAACCCACTCCCCCAATGTAATAACATCCTCCAACGTCCCAGGCTCCCCCGGATCCCCCACCCCACTCGTCCCACCCGCAATCGCCTCCTTCCTCCCCTCCAAATCCAAATTCTGCCACGTCCAATACACGCGATCAACCATCGCATGATGCGCAAAGAACGCAGGATCCGCAGGCGAATTGATGAAATCGGAACCTGCGTCGCCGCCGATGGTGTTGTGGCCGCCGACATGGGGGCCCATTTTGCCTTGGGCGAATTCCCCGCCGAGCACGGTTTGGAAGGATGTGATGGTGGTGTTATTCCTGATGAGGGCGGCGACGACGGAGTCCCGGGTTTCGGACGCAGATTGGAGCGAGATGTCGCGGGAGAGGCAGCGTGGGTTGTAGCCTAGGCCGTTGGGTTGCGGGTTTGGACGGGGTGGGGGGAGGGAGACGGCGGCGAGGGGGCCGAGGTTGATTTTCCAGCTGAGGGGGGTGTTAGCGATGGGCTTTGTTGGAATGAGGCGAGATGGGAGGGTGTGGCATACTCTTTGAACGGACCGGAGGTTACGCAGCCGCCTCCACTTCCGGGTTGAAGCTGGATGTAGCACATTTCGGTTGAGGGGAAGCAGACTGAAGTTCTGTTCGCGATGTATGCGCCGTCGCCTGACATGCTGGTATCGCTGCCGTCGAAGAAGGGGGAAGCTTTGGGGTTGTCTGCCCAGTGGCCCCTGATGGTTGGCATGGAAGTCAGTTTGGGTCTCGCGGGTTCTACGAGACAGGTACGTACCAATTGTAGTAAGGCTGGTATCCTTTATAACCGCATTCATTCCTCAGCATTTGTTCAAAAGCCCACGTATAGTATCGGTGCCATGTCAAGAAATTGGCCGTTCCGTGAATCGTGAACGCTTGCAGGATGTGGGTAACCACAAGGTCATCGTATCGACTCCTTGCACCTGATGCGATGGCCGCGGGTGTCTTTGCAGGTAATCTTGCTAGACATTTCACGGCTTGAATGTAGCTGCGTCTTTCCTGTTTACTTAAGGCCGACCTAGGATGTGTGAGTTGGAGCAAAACAGGATGATGTACACTTCGCTCACCAGTCTCGACGAACAGCTACGTTGTCTAGTGTACATTCTCCGGGGCTCGGTAGTGGGTTTTCGGAGTAGTAAGCCTGCATTCGGTGCAGGCCTTCGGCAGCCAGATCGTCTACTTCATTAGGCTTGTCTTTGTTCTTTGCACTGATCGTGCTGGCCAATGCCGCTACCAAGACATTGGGAAGCTTCATGAAGTCGAAAGATGGATATGTCTGGTGATTGACTGAATAAAAGGGGTACGACCGCTGACCTTGCGCCTGGAAGCTTCAAGAGGCCATACGAATGAATAGAGTACCAGCTCAGATACCCTGCGTACGCGAGAAGGCGGATTCATGTTGCTGTCTTGTACTTGAGGAACTACTACCACGTGTTCAGGGCGGAAGGATTGCGCGTGGCGATCAGAAGTCGGGCGTAGTAATATTGATTAGTTTTGCAATACATCTACCCATGTACTGACATGTGGATTATTTCCCAACATGAGCATACCCTTGTACTGCTACTCACCCGGGCTGTTGATGCCGTCTCCAAGGTCTCTGTAAGCGAGGCGCAAGCGTCCTTCGCAGCGTGCCGTCAGCCGCAGTGGAGCCCCGAATGTGAGTGTCTAATGTGAGTGTCTATTGTGATATAACCTAACGTTAATCATGTGATACATGCAAAGAAGAGAGGAAGTTTCCGATCCATCTCTTCAACGAAAGTTGAGTCTGTTGCTGGTATTGATGGGTCACCGGAGTTGTCCCACCGAAACAGATCCTGGAACACCTCCAGAACTGCATCAACGAATGGCTGACGACGGAAGCGGCGTTTGAGGGTGGCGGATGATGCGGAGTACCGACCACTTAGAGAAGCAGTACGCACATTGTGTTTAGGCCAGATTATGCTGAGGATCTATTGCCGAGGTAAGTTCGCGATTCGCGCTTCCAGGCTACACGGCAGCTTCCCCATTGTGCTAAGGCTTGAAGCTTGGCGGCATGTACGGTGCTCCAGGGGCCATTCTTCCGGTCCCGCTTCCCATTTCCCATAGGGTGCCTCAAGGCGTACAAGTATGACCAGGGTACCAGGAACTTCATAATCACGGTTTCGTCAACTGGTCGTGGTGGGCGTTGAAGCGGAGTACATGTTACTATAGTGAATTTGTAGCTCGACATCTAGAGTTCTGAGTATGAAAAGAATAAAACCGAAAAGTCATTACGTCGTAAAGTATCATTATCATGTCCCACTTAGATCAAGCGGAACTTCACCTCTTCGTGTTCACCACTCAAAGCCTCTCCGTCCATCTTGCCGTAAATGAATGCCTCACCAACCAGCTGGTGTCCTACAAGTACGTCTGCCTCGTAGACAGGATGAAGAATGACTGGCACACTGCAGCCGTACAGTATAGCGACGATGTCGCTAGGCTGTGTATCAGCCGGGGCGAGACCGACAAGATCGTTCGCACCTTCCTCGGACAACGGCAAAACATTGCGTGCGGATGAAAGCCCTTTTGCGTTGATGAACAATCTGTTCGATGTGACAACGCGGACGCGCTCCAGATAATCTTTGACGTACTTTGATACTGAGCTTCGCAGGAGGCTGTCAATCTGGATGTGGCCGTTCCTAGTCAGGTTGGCCATGACATATTGGCAGCTTCGGCGGTAGAGGGGCGGCGCGGCTGTACCTCGAGGTCCACGATTGGCGACCAAAGTCTGCCAAAGCTTGGTCGGAACCTTAGCAACCGCTGTTTGGTTCTGCACGAACGACCACCCGAGTCCTTGAAGGCAAGCCTTCGTGATGGTGCCATCGGGAAACGACTCAGTACAAAACGACACAGTACCAATGGCGAGACCAGTGACAGTGATCGACATGCCGTAAAATTCCTGGATGGCATGTCCGGCTTGAGGCGGAGTACCTGTACTCCAATCGACAGTGGCTCGCTTTTGTTCTCCATCACGGCCCGAAGCATGGTAGCAATTTTTCCCTGGCAGACCAACAAAGCTCTCTCCAGCTTTCCGGCCCTCGAAAACCTCAGATCCCGTTCCGAACGCGGATTCCTTGGCGGACTTGATCCACGAAGAAAATGGCGGCTCCTGTTCACCACCTGGTAACGCCCAGTGACGGCAAATAATGTCCAGAGACTTGCTCCTTATCACGACCCACTCCACAAAATGACGATACACCTGCAGAAGAGGCTTGTTGTAGTCGGGAACGGGTAAAGCTAGAGCAGAACCGGGCTTGTTGCGATGATACTCGCTTGAGATATTGATAAGGGCGTTGATCGTGTCCCGAGGATCGGATGTATCGAAACTGTGAAGTTGGCATACCAGGGTCTCCAGACTGTATGTCGACTCCAGTACTCCATCATCGTTCTTGTTCTCGCGAAAAAGATCTGCGGTGATGTCGACGAGGATTTTAGCCCCAAGTTGTTCGATCTCGAAGTCTGACTCGTCGCACCACCTCCGTTGATGGGGATATTTGACGGCAAAGTGCGCCATCAATTTTGGGCGAAGAGTAGCAAATTCCTGACAGAAGATCGCAATGGCATCCTGAAAGTCGTACCAGCTAATTTCGGGATTGTTTCCGCAATGTACCGTCGCTGTCCTTGCTAGTGCAACCTCTTGTATGATCCATCGACGAGAGAACCTGGTCACGACATATGATCAGTAACTGTTAAATACGCGAGAGCTGGAAGTGACTCACCAGCTCCACTTGAGCAACTCGAAAAGGCTGGCCCAGCATGGTACGTACTTCTCATAGTTGAGAAGGTCATGGCGCTTGTCAAGGTCGATAACAAGAGGGATGAAGTTCATGGCCATCGCCGAGACGGAACCGGCGCCTGAATCAGACCCCAGCCAGATACAGACGTTGTACGCACCGCGATAGATGTTTGGCATCTGGCTGATTTGCTCGCTCTTCTCCTGTGGATCAGCCTGATTGATACATAGCGCGTCAACCCAAACGGTGACTTCCTCATTTGCACGTCTCAAGTGCTTGAGCGCATCGTAGAGGTTTGATCTGACGGATAGTCTCTTCGCCTTTCCCTGGTGAACCTGGGTCACAACATCCTCAAGTCGTCCCACGCCCTCCGAGTTCCATTCGGGTTGGACATACACTACTTGGTCTGCACTACCGCCGCCCCAGTGGTACGAGAGCGCAATATACTGGCATTTGCTGCCGGGACGGTTGCCCAAGCGGTTGCGAGCGACAGCCAGTAACGTGACGTTGAGTTGATCGGCCACGGCACCGCGTTTGATGTAGAGTAAACGGACGTGATCTGCGTCGATGCGGCTGTATCGGTAACTGGTGTCAATGGCACGGCGCCAGGCTTGTCTTCTCAGAGTACTAGCTTCGATGGTGTCAGGGTCTGGGTTGCTGGGGATTGCGGTGATGCTCATATCGTGCAGACTCTCTCTCGGAACTGGAATCGGGGTTTGCGAATTGAACCGCACTTGTGCGAATGCGCGCAGTGGCAGGTCTTGCTCAGCGTCCGCGTCTGGAGCGCTTTGTGACGGGTTGACAGAGGTCTTCGATTCTGGTGTAAGAGGCGGCGATGGCTCCGATGCAATAGCCTCAAGATCTTCGGCGTCGTGTTGAGTAGCTAGACCGTAGTTGGCAATGGGCATGATGTTGGCGCCCGTCGAGCTTGTAATGGAATCCGCCTGTTGCGCCATCATGTCTGGAGTCGGCTGAAGTAGGGGAGACGGAGAGTAAAGAGCGTGTTAGGCGCGGCCTGACAAAAACGCAGCTTGACTCAGAATCGCAGTGTACACGACGAGGATTGGATATTTATGCTGCTGCCAAGCAAATCCCGTCCTGGACGCATACACGCTGTACACAGCCAGACGTAGCTTGAACAATGCCATCACCATGCTTCCGACCAGTGGCCCTCGATTCAACCCCAGTGTAAGCGCTCAGCAGCCCTGGGAAATTGTTCCTGCAGCCATGGTGTTGTGACACAGCTCGACGGCCGAATGATACCACTTCCCAGCTGAAGCCATCGCTAGCGTTGCATGCGGTATATTGCCGGATGGCGGGACGTCATGGGCACGTAAGAGGGCGCTCTGGACGGGCAGAAGCCAGCCGACCTAACACACCAATGGGACGGCGATCGCGTCGGAGCCAGCTTGGGCGATGAGATATCGGGCGGGGCGACCGTCGCCCTCACTGCTTTCCGCCACCACAAGTGCGCTGCGTAGATGTGTAGTGTGGCGAGATAGATTGTGCATGGCCCTGGTCGACGGGGAATCAGGTGCTGTGCCGGTGCCGGCGGGATTTCGCCCGGTGCGAACGTGCGGAGCTCGCCAACGTGGTGCAGAACAGGCGGCTGCGGGCAGCTCGGAGACTGTGCGAAGTCGGGGAGGTATGTGGTCTCGTGATCTGGTACGGGCGACTTGTGCTTAGCAAGAGGTCAAGCAAGTGTCGGGCGACGCGCGGCAGAGCGCTGAGCTCATAGTATTGGTCGACTGGTAGCTGTAGATATCGGGGCTAGATAACAGGTGCAGCTCGTGGCTGCTCGCGTGGTCGTTGAAACGCGTCGCATCGGGTCGAACTCGTGTTTAAGCCCTGGTAGATTCTTAGTGCAGCCTTCCAAGGCGGACTTCCAAGGCAGACCCGAGCGGAGTGGCCGACCCGTGGTGGCAGTCGCCTTGCCCTGTTCGAAGAAGCGGTGTGCATCTGATTGTTAGTGTGCATTGATCGGTGAATATGAGATATCCACATGCAGAGAGCGATAAAGATGTGAGATGAGATGGTGATGACATTGTTGTGCTACCTAGTAGGCGGCTGACGTACGCCAAGAATCCGCACCAGTTTCCACGGACAAGCTCTGGAGTTGTCCATACTGCTGCACGTGCTCAGCGTTCGCCATCCAGTGGATATATGAGGAAATGAAGCAAGTGCGAAGTGGGCAGGCAACGTGGCACACGGGTGTGCCACATAGGTGTGCTGCATATGTACAAGGACGAATGGATGCCATTAACCTGGACGACAAGAGGTATGAATTCTGACATTTCTATCGAGGCGTTTGGCATTCTTATATACACAAGGTGCCATGCTAGACAACCAATCACGTTCTCGCTTGGCACTGCATGATATGCGCACGGTGGGCGCGCAGTCCAATGCTTCATTGGCCAGACCCCATGCATCTAATGTGGTAAATTCCTCGCCCCGTCGTACTGTGGCGTACGTATGCATGCCTCCAGCCGGTGTCTATCGATCCTGGTGCACCCTCCCACATCGACGATACATACACCTCACCTAGGCAGCTGATGACCAGGCAGTTATGAAAGCTACCTGGGTATCTTTAGCTAGTCCAAATGCTCCTAGGTATGATTCAAGCATGTTCCTGAGTGGACGTTGGTATACTCAGGCAGCTTCGCCATTCATGCAAGCCCTATTCAGTTCATCCCTGGGGACCTCGTGAGATGGCGCACGGTTTCTGGTTTTGCTTTGGCTTTCGTGTCTAAGCTCGATGAGTTCCGTCTAATCAGACCATGTCAACATGAGGGAATTTCTGTGTACCTCGATATCAACCCAATGGTATGAGAAACCACAGTACCGCGATGATGCGCAGATCCTCTAACGAACTACGAAGCTGCCTACCTAGGTCTCCCGATCAGCCTGCACACTAAAGCCGCACTTGGACAATCGGCCCGAATGGAGACTAAGGATCACCTAGTGAAAGTCCAAGGAGGAGTAGTGTATTGATATTTGAAGCGGTATGGGAATAGTCATCCTGTACAAGATAATTAGAATCGATGGTGAGTCACCACACAATCTCTCTTAATGAGCTCCTTTTCGGTTGTAAATCCTACACTCCAGTTCCTCGAGAGAGACGAAGCATTTGTCACTGATATGTGAATTCACAGTCTTTCGAGATGATTCACTCGATGTTGCTTCAGGAACAAGCGTAACCATGGCCGACGTTCGGGGACATGGTACTCCCAAATGGTACCATCACGAAACCTTTGGCAGACTTGGGCCATCTCATCTCATTGAGATAGTGTTTCAACGTGTATTAGCTACTCGTAATCACATCATACAGGGAAAATTCCTATGTGCGTGAGCGAATATGCCTCTCGCTGGCCAATTTCCCCCTTGGTTTTGTCCCACCATCACTAATAGTAAGTTTTTTGTTGGTTTATTGTATTTCTGAGCACAAATTTCACGTCTACCTAATGATAATGGGAGTCCGTAGATTCTTCGAACGCCGTTTGACGCCCACCATTCCTTCTATACATTCGTTTATCAACGGCTTTCAGTAAGCTTGTTCAAAGATCATGCATTAGTATGGGTAGATTTGCGTTAGCTTGGCATCCTGGAGCAACCTTGGAAAGAATCTACGATCTATATTCTTCATGAACTTCATTGAACTTATCACAGGTACAATAGCTGCATAGCAGACAGCTCTCAAGCAACTTACCAGACAATTCCGCGACACTACTCGAGGCTTGACCGCATAATTGAATTAGGCAAATCAAGTGTGTTCCCGAACACATATGTTTCGATCAAAGACTATCTATAATAACGACTTTCAATTGAATCCGAACCGGACGTCAATCCCGGGATCGCTTCACGTTTCATAGAGGGCGTTGATGATTGATTGGTTCATCGAGAGAGGACCAGTCAAGAAAGCGCTTTACCCCGTGACGGAACTTCGGGACGTTCGGGCGTCATTATCACAAATAGTCTCGACGTAGAGTGATAAGGACACAGTTCTCCGTTTGATTGGACGCCCTTCTGTTAAGAGGCTAAGATCACGGAAAATAAGCGACCTTTGTACGACCTACCGGCCTATCCCACACCAGCTTGCTTTACACCGCAGCCAGGAGCTATGCAATCCCAGAAAGGGAGTTTAGCTCTGTGCGCTTAGATTGCACTCCGTCACTAATCACACATCAACACGCATCTTTACCTCCATGGCTACAACATGGCACAAATTTACCGGCCACTCACAGGGGACGAAGTACGCTTTGTGAGGCTCCAACCTGGTGCTTGGACAGATGCTATACAATGCGACCTGGTGTACCTCTCCTTACCTAACGATCAGCCCGATCTAGTGGATCTCTGGTTCTCGAGCGCGTCCTCTTCAGCCACCACGTCCAAAATCTCCGTGCCGCTGACACCAATCCCAACGGCTCGCACACCATATTACGTGGCACTGTCATATGTCTGGGGCAATCCAAACGACACAAAAGAGATACTGCTCAACGGACAGCCAGTACAAAAGACTTCTAACCTCATCTTTGCGTTGCGACAACTGCAAGCTTCCTTGGGAGATCTTGCTCGCGCGCCTGCAAGCTCTACCGGTCACGAGATCCTCTTTTGGATCGACGCGCTATGCATCAACCAGTCGGACACGACAGAGAGATCGCTTCAAGTACCTCGGATGGGAGCGATATATGGCTATGCCGCACGTGTCATCGCCTGGGTAGGGCATACCCCAAACCACGAGATACAAGCACTCATGGCCATGGTCAACAACTTCTACACTGACGATCACTTGCACACTTCCGAGAGCCTCTGGCGCACAATAAACTCTATGAGTAAAGACCAGCTCTCTGATGTCATACGCGGCCTTAAGGAAATTCTTCAACTACCATGGTTCCAAAGAGTCTGGGTCGTACAAGAGGCAGTGATGGCACGGGAAACGCTCTTATTCGCAGCTTCCCACTGGTGTCTTTACCGTCATATGGAGCAGGTTTTGATAGCAATTCTCAGCATTCACGGTAATCACCCTGTAGTGCATGGAGGAATGTGGCGGGTTGTTCAGGCACTGCAATTCAGCAACAGTCGCAACGCTATCCATGCAACAATAAGCGCCGTGTCCCAAAAAGCGAAAGTTAGCGGTATTTGCTCTCCAGGAGATGTTACCGGAGAGAAGGAAGCATATGTATATCACGAATTCCTCAAACTCCGCAAAGTTGTCGTTCGACGACCCGAAGCAAGTATCTTCGATGACTGGATCAATGAAGCACGCCAGTCGAGTAAAGATGCCGACGATGCAAAAGAGATATTCAGAACCCGGCTATTTGCGTTCATACTGAAGAATGTCCTGTCGAGCATGCGGACGACTTTCTTCGCTACCCTCCTTCACGATTACCTGTATGGAGTATTGTCCATCGGCGGTAGCCTTGGTTATCCCAAAATGCTTGCACCAGACTACGCACTCCCTTTCTCAAAAGTGTTCCACATCTACACCATGGTTATATTAGAGCATACGGGCAGTCTCTCTATTATACCTCGCCTGAGTGGTCGACTTGAGGGAGTGCCTAGCTGGGTCCCAGATTACCGATCGCAGCGCGTACCCATGGTGATAACTCATATCGATACCGAGACGGCGCTGCAGACCAGCACGCGAGTTAGTATCGTTGAAGGTGGCCGAGTGTGCATCATACTGGCGTACAGAATGGGCGATGTGAAGTTCGTCCCGGCGTGCCAGTACTCTCCACTCCATGAAAGTACCCCTTACGACATCATTATATACTTCGACGGGATATTGGAGAACGCTTGCAAGAACCCGCGAATAGACAAAGACGTTGTTGTCGAGGACTTCCTCGCGCAAATTCGTGGTCTAATGGGTTTTCCCGATTCACACGAATCACACTGGATATTCAAGAACATCTACGCGGACTGCATATCTGGGAAGTTGAATACGAGCAACGAAGGAGAAACGTCACAAAGAGATGTTGTAGAAGCGTTGGCTTCTCAGATCGCAAAATTCCCACTTCTCATCTCCTCTGAAGGCGTGGTAGCTGCATTAGCAAGGAACGATGAGCAGCCGATGGTAGGGGATACAATCCTCATGATAGAGGGCTCTACACACCCCTGGCTAGTTCGCTCAGTCATCGATTGTGACCCGGTGGAATATACCTTCGTTGGGGCTTGTCGACTATTTCAAGAGGAACTACCCGATTACTACGATCCGTGGAAAGAGGAGATCCGCTTAGTATAGTATGTGAGCTGTGGCTCTCACAATCCAACATACAACGGTTGAATGAGTGAACAGCTTCGTCAAATCGTAGAACGTACATCACACGAACACCGGTCACTATCGTCTCGCGCACAGCTTCGCAGCATCGAGTGCAATATGTCCCGACAGATAAATTACAGAGGTCCGACACATGGTTTCAGGCGGTTCCGTACTCAAAGATCGTCGCATTTACTCTTGTCTCATACACGCAACCTCTTTTCCTCGAAGAAGGAAAAAGAAAGTGTTGTGTGCATCCAGCTCGAAATCTGCTGATGGAACAGCAGATTGAGCGAGGCAAGAGACCGTTCTACAAAGCGCGCGGGTTGGGCTTCTCAAGCTTCGCGTCGACGCGCGCGTCTCTTCACAGATAGGTGAAGGCAGCGTTGGTGGTGTACCTGTGAGAGAGTGTTTACGACATGAGTACACATCTTCACACGCGCGTGATGATGGTGGCACCGGTTGTGGTTGGGCAGAGTAGGCGGGAGAAAGCGCGGCGTGAGCAAGGGAAAGTTTTTCACGATTATGTCATCGCGCCACTAAGCCGGTAGGGTACTAGCGTTCATAGTCAACCCGTGCAATTCATCCCAACTTCTGCCAGTTCACGCGGCATGTCCAGCGCCCGCCAATCACAATTGTGCGCAGATGGCGTGCCCAGGGCCATGGATTGGCCGCCGGCTTCGCTTGCAGCTTGCAGAGGTTTGGCATGCTGGATTGACGTGACGCTAGTGTTTATGTGGCATCCCGTGGATATCCAAGCCGTGCGTGTAGAGTCAAGCGATGCGAAATCGTCGACTTCCTTTCTCTCTTGTATTCTCGTAACTTATTCTTGAGTGCGCAATTGCATTAGCGATATGGCTTCGAACTCGGCGACCGCCAGACCAGAAGAGAAGGCGATAGCCTCATCTCCTCACCATGATGCCGAAACAGCCTTGACCGCAGCGTCCACCGACAAAGACATAGCAATCAATCTCGTCGGAGAACACGCCCAAGAAATCGATCCACGAATCGAAGCAAAGGTTCTCCGAAAGATCGACTGGTTTCTCATCCCCGCAATGATCGTTGGTATGTCCATCTCACCATCACCACGACTACCAGCCTCATCGATTCCATCCATCTCAAATCCCAAATCATCGCATTTCATCATTTTAACATGCATCCCGCAGGCTATGGCCTAGTATACTACGACAAAGCGATCCTCGGTTCTGCCGCCCTCTTCGGCATGACAACCGACCTACATCTCACCCAAACCCTCTCCCCCGCTACATCGACTTCCTCAGCAGTAATCTCCACGACGCGTCTCTCATGGGCCACTTCATTGTTCTATTTCGGCATGCTCGCAGGACTCTATCCCCTCACCTTCGCTCTCCAACGTTTCAATCTGGGTCGTATCCTTGGTGCCGTCGTACTACTTTGGAGTCTCATCTGCATGTTGACTGCCGCTGTTACAGACTACAAGGGACTGTACGTTCAACGTTTCTTCCTAGGTTTCGTGGAGAGCATCATTCCAACGGGTTTCATGACGATAGTAAGTAGCTACTACACGCAGCGCGAACAATCCGTGCGTCAGTCTTGGTGGTTTAGCAGTACCGGACTCTTCACCATCATCGGCGGCGCGTTGAACTACGGGTTCGCGCAAATCACGACAGGTGCGTTGAGACGCTGGCAGTACATCTACCTGCTCGCTGGGTGTTTAACCTTCCTCTTCGGGTGTTTCTGTTTCTTCATCCCTAATTCCTGCGCTGAAGCGTGGTTCTTGACGAAAAGCGAACGTGTCGTCGCTGTTGAGCGACTGAGGAAGGGTGCGACGGGTGTGCGGTGCCAGAAGATCAAGATGTATCAACTTAAGGAATGTGTCACGGACGTTAAGTTCTACCTCGTCTTCCTGCTCATGGGTAGCGCATACACCGTCAACGGCGCAGTTTCTGGATTTGGCCCACTCATCGTAAACACATTCGGTTGGTCGCCGCTCGCATCCATACTCTGGCAATTCCCTCTCGGACTCATTTGCCTCGTTACGATCCTCCTCTGCGGATGGTTATCTTCGCGCATACCTAACATACGAATCATACTACTCATCGTAAACTGCCTCCCCGTCATCGCCGGGTGTGCCATGATCTGGAAATCAGAGTGGACATACCACGCGCCCACACCCGTAGCCGGATACTCAATAATCGGTACTTTCGGCGCGGTAGTCAGCCAGACAATCGTCATCGCCATGTCCAATGTCAGCGGCGCAACGAAGAAGAGTGCAATGGCTGGAACAGTCTTCGTCGCATACTGTGTTGGCAACATCGTCGGCCCACTGTTGATCAGAAGTCAAGAAAAGGGTGCGCATTATCCTCGGCTGTGGACGGGCCTGATAATCTGTTACTGTATCACGATCGCGTCGGCGGTGGCACTTTATGCTGTGTTAAAGAGGAAGAACAAGAGGAGAGAGACGATGAGCGTGGACGAAGAAGAAAGAGACAAGATGGCGTTTATGGATCTGACGGATGGTGAGAATATGTATTTCAGATATGTCCTGTAGAGCGTCACGGCTGTCTGCATCGAAATCTCAGGGAGTTGAGCGCAGTGTATATGTAGCATCTGTATACGGTCTCTATCAACGAGTTCTTGTTTTGGCAGCTGACGTCGAGTCCTGCTCAATACATATAAAGTTACTCCATACCAACCCAAACTAGTAGCAAAGTGCAAGTCTATACTATGCTTGTACAACTGAGTAGCAACTAGTATCCGATCCTCACATCTTCGCGTTATGTGCCCTTTCGCATGTGCACTTCCTCTTCGTCGATGGCTCGCCGTTGTCGTAACGAATGAACATGGCACTTTGTTCTGCAGACCCTTCGGCCAAGAAGCGGTCCATCGGATTCATGTTGGTTGTGTACGTGTTGGAGGCTGAAGATAAGAGGCTGATATGGTAGGGGCAGAGTGCGACGGTATCGGTTGACCTCTGCTGAGGTAGATTGACTGTACCACTATGCGTTGGTCAGTAAGAGAAGACAATGGGGTTGTCAATGATGAGGGTGTACTAACGACGAAGTAGCTTGCTGAGCCATGGTGTATGGAGAGATTTGGATTGTGACGCTGGCGGCGAAAGAGGCAAAGGCTTGAATGGATAAGAGATGACGGGATGTCTGGAAACAAAGAGGCACAGGGAGTAGACATCTTTATACATCTTGAGGGTGGGAGGGGAGTGCATATCAAGGATAGGTCAGCCTCTCAGTCCTGGAGCAAGTCTTGGTGAAGGCCCGAGTATGCGTGATGCATTTAGAGTAACATGGGTCAATATGTGTTAACATGCTCTTGTCAGGGTGGCGGGTGTCTCGCGTTATGATCCCGCTGTCTGAATACGGTAAGAGCCTGATTTTAATCGCAGCACATTGGTCTGCCGACTTTGGTTCATCTTGGTAGACCACCCTTGCAGGAAGGCCACAAAATCCGAGCCTTTACATTGGACAGAGAACTTTTGTTTAGCTTGGCTTTTGGATGGTGCGCAGGGATGTAACGTCCGGGGTCGATACTAAGCTTTCACAAGCTCCACCCTCATCGATGTGGATCCACCTTAGTGAGAGCATCTCTTATTGTCTTATCGGAAGTATGGAAACGATGTACTTGAGATAGGTGGTGAGGGCCGCCGCTCGTCTGGCGAGGGAAAGCGGTGCTTCCTACTCTTTCGCTCGCGGCATCTATGGCTGGACAATGGTAACGGAATTAGTAACAGAGAGCCTCGAGATGCTGAGAGCAGGCACTGATGGGCAGTGTGCCACAGCGCAATGGCTAACGTCGTGTTGCTTCGCTGGGCGTTCTACGCGTCGCCGCTCAAGCGCCGGTCACGCCCGCATCACGGCCATTGGCCAGTGAACCTTTGCTCGACTTGGCACGCCGATCGGTGTTGCCCAGTTTCAGAATGGAGGACTCTTGCAGGCAAACAAGGCGTCGGCACACCTTTAGCCTGTGCAGCGCCAGAACAAATGTGCGTCAGGGAACGTCATCCCGTTGGCTGTCGAACTTTTGTTCGTCTTGGCTGTGGCACGTGTCAGAATTCCAGACAGGGTACCAGAGCGCCATAAGAAGGGGATAAGCCAGCCTGCCGCAATGCAGCAAGTTTGAGATTTCGACAGCCTCTCTCCTTCCGGCCAAGCAGCGGTCCTTACAACAGTATCTATATTCTTCTTCTTTGCGCCCGGCTTGACTGTCACATCTACGTGTGCTTGCCCTTGATGAGTTCAGCCGTGTCAGGATCCGCGGATCCTTGGGAGAATGTAAAACCGACCCTAGAGTCCCTCTGGCTGACAGAAGGTCGGAAGCTCAATGAAATTGTTGAGGAAATGAGGAACAAGCACAGCTTCCATCGAGTGTGCGTCAGGCATATCCCTTTCTGTCTTTGGCGAGAGGACCTACGAGCTGACAAGTCTAACATATAGCGAGCGCCAATACAAAACCCAGTTTGGAAAATGGGGGTGGTCAAAGAATGTTCGCAAGAGTGAGATCATCAAAGCTGTGAAGCATTACAAAGGCCGTGCTGCAGTCGGCAAGCTCTCCACACGAGTCGCTATCGATGGGAAGCAAGTTGATCGTCAGAAGGTGCGGCGGGTGATGAAAGAAGAAATGCGAGAAACCGAAAGATTGATCTCCCTTAATCGCAACCAAATCACGACCGTAGACGGACACGTGCTGCCATTCACCAACAGTTTGTAAGTAGCCACCGGCCGGATTGTATGCTCGTGTGCTAACGTCAAAGCTTCCTCAAATGGAACCTACCCTACGCTGCCATACGTCACTCATACGTACGACCTTTCGATCATTCGTCGCCCTTCGATCAACCGACGCCCTATAGCAACATCGAAGTTACCACCCCCTCATCGGGCGCGTCCCCAAATGATGCACCTTCACCGACGATCCAGCTCACGAAAAAGCTCACGATGGTTGAAAGAGCCGGCATGTTTGCACAAGGTCACCATGAGAAGCTTTTGAAGGCCCTGAATGGAGAAGAGAGAAGGTAAGACGAAAGCCGTGCTATGTTTCTTTAGTTGACAATATAGTAGGGCCTTGTCCGACTGGCTGTACCAGTATTGGTTCTTTTGCTTCAAGACCGCCAAACACTGGGGTAAAGGACCAAGGATATGGACGGCGGAGCTTTTGAACTTCGAACAGTATCTTTCCACAGGCCGTTCTAGTCTTCCAGGAACGCCCCAGGATTTGACACACGGCTCCACACCACATAGCGACGATGAGCCAACGCCACCTTCGGATCTTTGTCGATGGTACGTTCATGTGCATGAGCAGCGATATGAGCCGATACCGGAAGACGTATCTGAACCCCGAGCCTTCCCTCAGCCCGACCCTGATGACGATACCACCTGGGCATCGTGGTCTCCAAGTGAGCAGCAAGCTTCATTGCAGGCGCACCTGCGAAATGCGCTTGAACACAATGACTTCAGCCCTACCCCTGCCGCCGATCTCCCTGTCGCAATTCCACAGATTGCCAAAGCTGCAGACGAGGAACGTTCGAGCGAGTTGCTCGTCGAGTCTCTTGGTTTCAGCATCATGAGTCGAAATCTTGATCAGATTGAGCGACTCTTCCTGCAGTTACGGGCCAAACACATCGATCCAGCATTAGTGCATCCATTTCATCTAGCAACGAGTTTCCTCGATGGGTCTAAATCTTGTTGCGATGTGTTCGTTGTGGTCTCGCAGTTTGTCCCTCCAGGCCATGTCTCTGAGATGTACCTGGATGAGCATGGTCACACCATACTTGACAACCTGATGATCACGATCATCAAGTCTCACACAAGCGCAAAACCAGTTGTTGTAGACGACAATCTCAAAGACGTCTCACGCTTCATCGGAGAAGAAGTCGATATTTGTGGCCGTTGGGATGCAGACTCCCCTTGCGTACGCCAGCTTCATGCCCATGGCTGTCCATCGATACCGTCTAGCTGGAAACACAAGTTCTGCAATACATCAATCCAGGCAATATGTCACTGCATTAACCGGATGTTCCGGCGTATGCCACACCGTCTGCTACTGGAAACACCAAGTGGATTATACATCCGACGCTGCTTCGGTACTGACTGCGGCAAAAAGTTGCAACTGCAACCTTTGCATAGTCTGGTAATGACGGCGTACCATCTTGCTACCCAAGGAAAGAATGGTGAAGATCTATTTGGCATACTAGCGTGCGCTCTTTGCCTCATATTTCACGGCTTTGACCCTTCCGTCCGAGCTGATGTTTCAGTCGCTGCGTTGTTATCCCTTGACTCAATCGTTGAGTGTGATCACGAGGAGCTTACGGCTGCAGGACTTGCAGAGGAGATTCAATCTGTACCAGCATTCGAGACTTGGAACACCGAGCTCAGGACAGGATGGACTGCACTGGCCGGCGTACTACGTCGTTGTGAGACCGCGCATGTCGAGCAGGTCGGCAACAAATACAACGACGCAGAGTCGAGTGACGATGATGTCCATTTTATGGGATCCACTGAGCCTGATCGCAATTTGCTGGACGAACATCGCTATGGAAACGACATTCCGCTCTGCTTTTATGGGAGGAAAGATCTCGGTACATTATGGTGTTCGGTTCAAGCGGAATATCTGTCGTATCGACGTCTTAACGACGGACTTGCCTGGACGTCGCGGTATTTTTCGATGGAGACTCTACGAAAGCAGCTAGAGCAAGATGAAGACCTTGTGGTGGGATATGCTGAGTACAGTTTATTGAAAGCTCACTGTGCCTGCCACAGCTTCGGTCGCTTTCCGATGACGCTGCTGGATGACGCGATCGATCCTAATCTTGCAAATCTCGATGTCTGGGGGAGGGCCACATATGAAGGAATCGATTTCGAATGGTGGGAATAGAATGGTGGTCTGGTTGAGCTTCTCGTCCATTCAGTCATATACAAGCAGCGTACCGGCGAATTTAAAAATTATACACAGAACACATGGCCCCTACTCCTTCCCGTTCTACAAGATGGACTTCTACTAGAACATAATTTCTCTAATAGATAGCTAATAGGCTAAGATTCGGTGTCAAGCATGCTGGATCTGCTGGAGTGTGCCTATACAGACTTCGAGTTCAGGTATTAAAATCCTCACTAACACTGCGTCTTAACCACCACCACTGACGGTTCATCCATTTCTGTAACTCGAGTTCGCGTTCACCGATTTGTGTTACTATCGTGTTCTACAGCGAGGCGCCGATGTACTGTATTATGATAGGAAGGCTCGAGCGCAAAAACCAGGAGATGACAGGTGGAGTGCCCTATGCTCGTGGCGTCCATTCAGAGGATCGTACGTAAGCGCTGGACAGCTGCTTATCAGTAGCACGTCAACTAAGAAAAATACTGAAAAGGCTGCAGCCTACATCAACATATAAACGTACAAGATAGGTAACCTAGCGTTGATGTAGGCTCTAGACCTGTTCAGGTTTTTCCTTGTGTGAGGTGGTAGCGTCTACGCGCTAGTGCATAGCGGAGCAAGCCACCAACACAGGACTGTGTGCTAGTAGTCCGTATACAGAAAGGAGGCTTACTAAATACAGAAGAATTGAGGGACTTTGTGATAGTTATTCCCCGCTGTTGTATGTTTTTGGCATTTGACCCTTCTTCTTTGCTGGTGCTGGCGACCTTTGTGGTGAGGAGAGGGAGGGGGTGGATCTACGAGCGTGTGCGTGGATGCGCGGTGGTGGTAGCGGCGACAGCTTAGTATGCTTGCGAGCAGACGTGTATTTTTGCAAAAGTTTGTTTGTTAGCTTAGGTGTACGTAAGATGGTAAGCAACGGTGAGATGATGGAGCTAGGGAAGGGAAGATACGTTGAGTTGGGATGAAGAGTTCTTCACATGATGGGTCTTCACTCTTCACACTTGTTCGCGACGCCATTGTATCGACATCACGACAGGTTACAAGACAAGTCATCAGCAATCACTAACCATCATAGCGAATTCATCAGCATCAAGTCTACGCAATAATCATTACAACTATAAACCACCGGCCAGCAAATATACCCATTCCACAGCCACAAGACCACTTCGAACATCAAAGCAGTCAAAGTGGTATAAACGCCTATTTCCAATGTTATGATTGGGAAGTTGAAGCCCCGAAGGCCCCGAAGGGGGAGAAAGAAGAAGTGAGTGTACAAAAAAAGGGGTGGATGGGAATGAATCTATTATTCTCCTTGGCAAGAAGAAAAAGCTATGACAGCTCTTCTTTGCCTTACAAGACTTTTGGTGCTACATGATTGGGTTGTGGAGAGGGTGCTATGCGATTCGGGTTCGACAGGGGGGATGCGCATTGGTGCTGGGGTCGGGAGTCGCGGGGTCGGGGTGCTGGATTCGTTTCGTGTCGACTCTAGGCAAATTCGGGATGACCGCAGCCACCTGGAGTCTTTTCCACGGGTGGACGATAGGTTGAGACACCATTAACCAATTCCCAATGTCCAAAGCGAGTGGCGTGCGTCGAAACGACTCCGCCTCCTCCTCCGAATCGGGACGCATGCGACGACGCTGCTCTATCAAGGATTTCCGGGTAACTGCGAGGGACGTAGACCGATGACTCCGGGGGAGCGAAGTCCCGTGCGCGACGACATTCTTCGAACGGATGGGCTCCGTACTGTGCTTCGAGGTGCTGGGATACGCGAGGGGGAGCTAGAACCTATGCTTTAGCCACATGCTAGACGGTACCTCCAGAGAGGTTATCCAACATCTTGGCCAACACAAGGTTCAAGCAGTGCTGGGGGAGGGAAGGGGTATCAAGACAATCAGGCCATTACGCCTTGGTTGCCGCCTGGGAAGGGGAAGTCAGTGGGCTGGAGTATATATATAAGGTGGGGATGTCGATTTCACTAGAGAGGAGCGGGGCGGAGGTAGGGGTTGTAGCCGAGCGACGTACCGACTTGACGCTTGATCTGTTCACGTGCCCATCGAGCAGTGTCTCGGGTCCGGCCGCTGAAATCTTGGTTTGCGCGTGTCTCCCTCGCCATTGCGGTGAGAAACTCGTGACGGAAGTACTCCCTGAAGTCACCAGCTGGGAACGCATCCGCGAGGTCACTAAATGATGTTAGTGGGATATATTGAAAGACGGACACGTGTACATACCCGATAACACCACATGAAGATCGGAGGAGAGCCTCAGTGCGGTTGCTGTCTGCTTGGATAGTGCGGAGAAGGTCGAAGATGGAGTCAAGGTATGGGACGATGAGTTGAGCTGTGGCTGTTAGTGTGTGATCAACGTCTTAGATTACAAAACTTACTCTTGTTGCTGCTCTTCATGGCAACGATACATCCGTCCCATGCATCCATGATACCCTCACGGAGGGAGGTGATGTAGTCAATCATCTCGTAGTTGCCCTCGGTGGTCAAAGTGACTTGTCCAGCTTGTTGCAGCACTTGAGCAACAACAGTCAGGTAAGTCTCGAACGCGCCGTGGATGGCATGTGCGATGTCACCGAAGCATTGCAGGATAGCTGGCTTGAGCTGGTTGCCAAGCTGAGGGCTGCGCAGGTTGTGAAGAAGAGAGTTCATGAACGCATCGCAGAATGGCTGGACGTTCTCGCCCAGAGACCGGGTGATGTCAGAAACCAGACCAATGGCCATGGAGCAAAGCGCGGGCTCTTCCTGGTTGTTGAGAGCGTTGTACAGGAAGGGAGAGAAAGCCTCCATGTACTTCTGGAAGTCCTCCTCGAGAGCCGTCGCGATCGAACCAATGGCGGCAAAGACAGTGTCTGGCACACTGGACTTGGGTGGCAGAGACGAAAGCAGACTCAGCAGCGCCTGCATGATACGGTCGGCCTGGGGCCTGATGTCGCTCTCCATGCGCTGGATGATGGCCATGATGACACTGGCCAAGCTAGTCTGCATCTCTTCGAGAGTCAGCTTGTCCTCAACGTTGACAACCTGCGATTGGAGTGCCATGGACTTCTCGAGACGCTCCAGAATGACGTTGGCGAGCTCGTTGACCAGAGGAACGCTGTCACCAGCGGCGTTGTTGACGAAGGAGTTTAGTACTTCGTATGCGGCTGTGCGGAGCGTGTTGTCGGCATCAGCGCGCTCGGTGACCTGCAAGAGGCTCTGCACGCTCTGGGCGAAGTGGGGCGACAATGGGTTGGTTGTGCAACCGGGCTCTCCCGCGAACCTGTCGGCCAAGTTCATCAGCGACCAACAGCACGATGCGGCCATCTTAGGGTTGCTGGCGAGACCGTTGAATAGAGCTCCGATCAGGGGAGGCAGGTGCTGCTGCGCGTCGAGTGCGCTGGGAACAGCCTCGCAGATGCGGCCCAAGGCGTATGCGGCGGAGTCCTTGACGTGGATGTTTTGGTCATCCATCATTCCGATCAAGGTAGGCAGAGCTTGCTTGACAATGGGGTCTAGCACAGACTCCTCGGGACCCTCCATGATGGCACCAAAGGCGGAAACGGACGCATCACGGTAGTGCCAGTCTTCTGAGCGGATGTACTTCTCGATGAAAGCAAGAACTGGAGGCATGACGCCGCTACCGACACACTGTGCCCAGAGCTGCAGACATTGGTATGCTGCGCGGGAAGTGTTGTACTCGTTGTCATCGGCATCCTCGTCTTGCTTGGCAAGAAGCTCGAGAAGCACTGGGACGACCTCTTGTGTGGCAACTCGGGCAAAGTTGAAGTATTCGCGGAGCTCGGTGGAGCCCTCGGCTTGAGCCTGGGAGTTGTCGTCCTCGATGGCGATTTCCTCCTCGCAGACGGTGCACCAGAACTCGACAGCCAGCTTGGCAACATCTTCTTCCTCGCTCTTCATGCCTTGGATGGTAAGACCGAATAGCGCCTTCTCCATGTAGAAGCGCATCTTGTCGTAGTACAGACCCATGATGCGGTTGAGACATCCGTACGAACCCTGCTGAATGCGGCTATCGTCCGCTTGTGTGGCTTCGCAGATGACCTGCATGATGTAGTTGCGCTCGCCCTCATTGTCGAAGTTGGAGCGGACGAACTCGATCGAGTCGCTGAGCGCGTTGATGGCGGCTACACGGACGTCGTTGTTGGCCTCCTCCTTGCGGGCACCCTGGACGACAGCCGTCAGGATAGCGTTGGAGTGCTGTGCTAGCGCGTCCCTCAACTCTACGTCGTCTGTATCACACACGAAACCGATTGTGGTAAGAGAAGATTGCTTTTGGGCGTCGCTGCCCTGACCGACACTCTCGACGAGCGAGGTCATGAGCTCCGGCCATTGATTGCGGGGTATCTCGATAGCAGCCACGGAGGCGATGAACTGTGCGGCGGCGGAGCCTACATTCTTGTTGGGTGTGGCCAGAGTCCGCAGGGCCATGTCCTTGACCTGCTGCTTGATCTGGGTGTCGAGGCTGAGCCATCGTTCTTGAACCTGACGTAACCGGGCATACTCGCGAGCGGTGAAGGCGTTCTTCAGGGCCAGGGCGGCGGCCTGTCGGATCTGGGGCGCGGCTTGTTCATTTGCGAGTTCGCCGCCGAGGACGGTGAGGTATTGAGGCTGAGGATAGACGTTAGTGGATATGTTCTGGCTATGTCTCGGGGGGCATGCAGCCTTCTGGCAGCGGGGGACTCACAAAGTCGGAGTCGGCAGCCTGGATGAGCTGTTGCTCGGCGCTGTTACGGATGCTAGCGTCTGCAGAAGGGTCAGTCGAGCTTCTAGAAAAGTGCGGGTCTCAGTAGAGGCAGCATACCGGCGGAGTAGGTCCCCTCCAACACCTGGTTGATATCCATAACTGCTGAAGGGTGCTTCAAAGATTCAGGCGGGGTATCTGGCGGTGGGAAGAATTAAAGGGCCGCGGTGGCGGGAGGAGCAGAAGGTGGTGCGGCAGGAAGGCAGGGAGTGGTGAGGTTGCGGAGGGCGTCCGTCGTAGGGAGGGAATTTGAAGCGAAAGAAGGTCGAGCGTAGACAGGCCTAGTTCACGTGTTGTTTTCCTCCTAAAGGGTCTGCCCCACTAACAGTGCGGACTTTGGTGCAAGGAGACGGGCGTAAGGGCAGCCAGTCAAAGAGCAGCAAGCAACAGGCAAACACGGCGTTTGACAGTGAGACGGCGTCGTGAGGGCGAGGGTGAGGTGAGAAATTTATTCTTCCGCTGCTTCAGGCACCGTCGATGGGTTCGTTGGAGGAAGGAGCGGCGCCCGCCTGGCAACGGCGCATTGGCTCGCTTGCGCATCGTGCTTTCCCCCCCAGATTGAGCTCGCCCTCCCGCATGCAGCCCTGTGAGAGCCATGACACTGAACGAGGGTCCTACCGTCCTGCACAGACACTGCATAGAGTTATGACATCCAGCCTAGTCGTTGTGCACCTTGAGTTCTCAATACTGTTACATCGCGTCGCCGTGGTTCTGTCTGGAAGCCAAGCCAAGCGTCTACCTGCAGCCCGTCAATCACCTCGAGGCTATTGGACGATACACGCGCATCATGACGAATCGCATCGATGCAAAACTCTAGTACGCGAACATCATCATCTTGGAAGTTCTCAGCCATCGCGGCAGCCTACGTCGTGTATGTCTTTAAAGTAGTTGGTAACGACGGCAGCCTACAGCTGAACCTACATCTGGACGCCTAGAGAAGGTCACGGGGAACAACTCTTTGCTTGGGAATGGGCCCATGGACGAGTGTGTGCCAAAAGACAAGTGCTCACGTGTCAAGCTGTTCATCTTTCGAAAAGGCTGAGTTGCTCTTACCGGTCCTATCTGGCGGAAGCTCTTTAGTGCTACTGGAAGAGGGTTTGACTAGGCTTGGACTATGTCCCCCGACAAGTACCGGAATGGTACGAAAAAGCTTGTTCTCTCTGAGATGTACCTTGTAGCTACGATCTGCGAGGAAGATATACTCGGCATCGCGTCTGACAGTACGACAACGGTAGACACGACATTTGCTTGTAGCGCGTGATGAATATGACTAAAGACGAGCTCCTTCATACGAGGATCATAATAGTAGTCGTATATGCAATGCATCCAATCCACCCGCTATGTGTCAATAAACATCTTAATGCACTGCAATCTCATCGACATACACGAACCCCTTCTCAGAAAGTAGTACATCACATCCTCCCACTAGCCCTCGGATTCTCCGCCTCCTGCCTCCTCCAATCCCTCATCTCCTTCGTCCCCAGACTCCCCAATCCCCCCTCACCCCTCCTCTCCCAACCCCCCAACCTAACAACCAAGCCCGTCGCATTATCCGCCCCCTCACTCCCCGTACTCGTCTCAGTAGCAAAAGCCACAACATCCCTCGCCGCCTGTTCCGGCGTCTTGGCCTCTTTAACAATATCCACAATCTCTTGATCACTCAAATGACCCGACACACCATCTGAACACAAGATGAGGAACGAGTATTCCGCGGGCGACAGTTCTATACGACGAATTTCGGGTTCTGCGCTTACGCCAACGCGTTTGTGTGCCATGTCGCCGAAAGAACGGGTGTTTGCGAGACCGGACATGCGTTCTTCGCCGAAGGAGTCTGTGACGAAGGAGGCGGCGAAGCGGCGGAGGCGGGTTGCTTCTTCGGGGAGGGAGGGGTGGTGGTTCGATGTTAGGGGGACGGCGAGGCCGGTTGCGGTGTTGCAGAGAAGTATCCTAGTATCGCCGACATGAGCGGTTATGAGGGAAGATGGCGAGGACGGGTGCCAGAAGGGTGAGGGCGTGGGCGTCGAGATGAGGGCTACGCTGCATGTGCTGCCGCCTTTGAAGCGATTTGTGCCGCCAATGTTTGTGCTGGTTTGGCGTGAGGGCTGCCCGAGGATGTCGTCGTCGTTTAGAGCCTTGTCTGCGCGGACGGGGTCCTCTTCCTTTTTGCCTACTTGGGCGGCGACGAAGTCATAGTCGGCTTTGAGGAAGGCGTATTCGAGGACGGTTTCAATTCCAATGCCTTCTTTGGCGTCTTCGGGTATTGTGGGGTTGCTGGTGTGACGCTTCTCAATGACTTCTTTCTCGGCAGGATGGCCGCGTCCGCCTGCGGACATGGAGAAGTACTCGGGCTTGAAGCGTCTGAAGTATCCGCCTACGAGCTCCTTCCATTGCTTGACCAGCTGCTGCTCGAGCTCTTCGGCTTTCCGTACGCTGTCTGACTGTCGCACTGGAGCAACGCCTTCAATTGGACCGTCCATAGATTTGGAGCCGGCGGTTGGCAGCTGGTCTTTGCTTCCAGGCTGTGGCGGCTTCATAGCTGTTGTGCCCGGTGGCGTATGCGTTTCTATAGCATTCAGGCTCTCCTTGTCCCTCTGCCTTCGGTCGCCAGAAGAAGCCTCGCCCTTGGCCTTTGGGTTGCCAGACTGGGTCTCGGTTCTTTCCCGTGCGAGGCTGCTCGTGAGCTCAAACTGCTTGGTCGCCTTCTCCAGGTAGTCGTGCAGCTGCTCCCTCAGGAAGCCAGAGCACTCAGCGCCGCCATGGCCATCGAAGACGCCAAAGTAGAAGACCTGTGGATCTCCACTCGCGCCTACGTCTGGTGTGACCTCGGTGTCCGCGCTCTGTCCCTTTCTGCTCAGAGAGATGGGGCGCCGCCGTGCGAAAGCGGGGAGGTCAATGGTGCCCGCCTGGAACGCATCTTCGTTGTATGGCCGCGACCCCCGCGACAGGGAGACGCCGAAATGGTGTTTTGCGCTCTTCAATGGTATGCGGACGACGGTCATTTCGCGCGACGTGCCCACGACGGCAGCCGGCGACCGCCCCGACTTGTCCGCATTGTACGGCGTGCTCTTGTCGCGCGGGAGCTTGTGGTGCAGCGCAGGCTGGGTAACTCGCGAGTCAGGATGCAGCGACGTCGAGGGTATGTGGGTTATGAAGTATTCGTGGAAGCAGCGTCGCTGGCGGGGGTGGTGATAGGTCGGGGGCAGCCTGGGGGCGCGGGCGCAGAGGCAGGCAACGCGGTGTCCTATGGTGCCTCTTTGGGCGTGGAGGTTCGGTTTCCACATGTCGTCTCTTGCTGCGAAGGACGCATGGCGCGGTTAGGTGGGTAGTTATGTCATGGTTGGTGACCTTGGGATAACCAATTCCAAGCTCCAAACTCGCCATGTTCCGCTGTTCCTGGGGCCGCACTCCCGCCTTTGCCTTTTTCGGCACGTCATCCGTTGGCCCTACTCCACCACGCCATCAGGGCGCCGAGGTAGTGATGAGCGCCGCGACATTCATCAATAGTCGAGAGGCCTTTGTTGAGCCATACGCCCTTGTCGGGTCAGCTGACAAGAGATCGATTGCAGGTTGGGATACCACATTGAATCGACGATAGTCCAAGACGACAACACATCTGGGGCCGAGGAGGTAGGCTGGTCTTAATTATAAAGTAATAATTTGAATTATCGACAGCACATTGAGTCCTCCTGGGTCTTCTGTGAAACTTTTGATATCTTCTATACGCGTAATCGCAGTTCAATGCATTATATCATATTATCGTGCCTCGTTGGAGGTGCTCCTGGGGCTGGGCTCATCCTCCCCTTCACTACAATCATCCTTTGCACATCCGCCGTGGCAACAATCGTCGGGCTCCATGGATCTAGATCCTCGCTGACTCTGTACACGCTGTGCTTCTTGTTGTTCTTCATCTCCTGCGCAACCATATCTTGGCTCCTCAACGCAATAGAGTCGTCGGGCTGTAGGGACCCTTTGCGTGAGTTGGAGTAAGAAGACGCCTTTGACCGAACATCCGAAGCGATTTTGCGGAAGAGCGGGCGAAGGATGGCGATTGAGGCTGCGATTATGCCTGTGCCCGGCTCGGCGGTCGCCCATATTGTTGCTTTGACGGCATCGACTAGATAGTTGTTAGTACATGCTCGAATGATGACATGCAGATGAAGAAAGACTCACCATGTAAACCTGGTCCATTGTAGCCCAGTCCCTTCAGGTAGACCATCCTGAGGATCGAGCTCACACTGCCCACTGCACCCAGCGCCATGACCATGCTAACGCTGATCTTACTCCTTCTATCGAGGTCACTATCCAGTAGGACGGAGATCGGTACCAATACGAACGTCCAATCAGCGATTACGTTGATTATGCCGTAGAGATACCCGGAGGTGAGAACAAGAACAGATGGCAAGCAGTTGGGCGATGACGGTGATCGCAGGTTATCTGCGAGGCGTGTTGGGTCGCCGCAATGAAAGATGATGATCAGAACGTAGTAGAGGCCGTATGTTGCGCTGATGACGAGAACGACGTGGAATAGATGCCTTTGCCATCTCTTGGTAAGGACCCTTAGGAAGAAGAGACCTAGCGAGACTTTGAGGAAGCTCGTCGTAAGGACGTAAAAGACTTCGGAAAGTTGAATAAACTACGGTCTGATTAGCATTTTGCATGATGACCAATCTGGAGGCATACTCACAATTAAAGTTACGTGGATATCCTCTTCGCCGAAGAGTTTTCGGTCCATGCTCCGAAAAGTGATGGCCATTACGAAGGCGCAATAGCAAGTAAACAATAGAAGTGAGGCAACCATAGCGGCATCATCCCAACCTGGAGATCTCGTGATGCGATACCGCACCCATAACCGCAAACCGACTGTAACGTAGCTCAAGATGATAAGTGTTATTATACCGTAGAAGGTGATTCGACCCAGGAGCACCAGCTCCATAAGCTTTTCGCTTGCCATAGTTTAGAAGGAAATTAACATTGATGTAAAGATATAAGGTCCGAAATCGGAAAGGGACCACCCACGCACTGGCGGAAGATTAGCAGTCGAGAAGTAGCACGACGGTGAAGGATCCGAGCTGCAGGTAGAGGTAGCCGCGCATTATGAACGCATGGCCTTGACCACGATGACCGCGGTAGGAAACATCCCGGTAGTACGCGTTGCATGCATGGTGAGGGATCGGGTGTGTGGTATGGGTCATGAACTTTGTTATTCTGCAAGCCTTCACCGATTGGTTACTGACGTAGGTGGTAACCCGAACGGTTTGTGAATGACCTGGATGTCGCAGCTCAAGCATTCCAGATGTTTGGTGTTTAGTAATGTAACCCATGCGGATCAGATCCCGCCACAGTGTTCTCGGCAGTCCGAAGAATGTTTGATGCGTGGGAGCCCCTGTTGTCATGGTCATGGTGTCTGGAGAGGCTCGTCGATCTTGAAACACTGCTTCCACATCCAGCGGGTGGGCATGAGCACCGAGGTCATGTACGCTGGGGAAGCTGGCCTCATCGATGACGCTATGAAAGAAAGCCTCGTCGGATTGCGAAGTCGTACGATATCAGAGTCTGGATATGCCTGTGAGAACTCGGCCTTGCGGATGGGTGTGCTGCACCACTGGGTATGCAAGGAGGTCGTACAATCCGCAAAGGTCTGGAGTTGACCTATTAGAAACACAAGTTTCGATACAAAGAGCCTCGACGACTCGTTCTCCACATGACAATAAGGAAACGCGCTCGATGTTATACAAATCTGGAATTATGGTATGATTGACAGCGGAGTGTAGTTTTGACCGTGTATCAATCTGCTCTCCCAGATGCGATAGGTTGGTGTTCTCGAAAGCTCTCATGTTTGACTAAACAGTCCGTGTTTGACGAGGGCGCGTGAGGCGTGTTTCGCGTGGGCCTGGTGCAGAAGGGAACATCCCCAAACGAGTCACGTGCAGATGCGGCACGCATGTTTGATCGTCCCAACATCATGAGAGAACTGAACCCGTGGATACCTGAGGCGAACGCTGCTCGGTGTTCGTAAGGCCCACGGTTGTGGCCACAGGTGTCAAGGCGGGAAGGCCCGTGTGGTTGGAGATGGTCCGGGATCTCGGCAACATAGATGCTCCGATCCTAGCGCCTCGGCGAAAGTTTTCTTCTTTGTCTTCGAGCTGCAGCGCCTCGACTTTTACTTCACATGCGCGGCCAGCATCCAGGGGACAACTTTGAACACTATGATCTTGGATTTCCATGGTTATAATGTGCAAAGTTGTCAAAGGGATGTTCAACACGCATGTGCCTTCAATCTAGGCTCTCAGCGCGTCGCAGCGCGCGTCGTGGCTCTACAGGCTCTACTTCGCACATGCTCACTTCTAGTGCAGCGCGAGACTAACCCAGCAATTGGTAAGTTCCATCATTCCTACACCCTCCCCTTTCATGATGAAAAAAAGACAAAATTCACAGACCTGTTCGTAAAAATTGTGTCGAAAACTTTGCTTTATATAATCTGATCACCTTCTTTGGCTACCTGCTTCTCTACGTCCATATTAGAGAGCTCATTGGCTAACAAAGAGCAGTTACTGGTTCATGCGATCCACTTTTCCACATTACCAGGCGGTCCGAAGTCTTGTTCAACACCACATCTGCTTGAAGTAAGCCATCGCCACGACGATGAGTGGGGTTGTTCGTCAATTGATAGAGCAACTCGAACAATGCTGGTAATTCACCGCCTGGCCGCCCTTTCAAGACCGCTTTGTAGCTCAGCACAATGATGCACACCATAGTATACTTACACTCGACATTCCTTTGTCCAATTCAAATCTGTAACCTCACAAGACTCGATGAAAGAATCCCGTGAGCTCTCATATATATACGATGTGAGCCGTGTTATCTGTGCGTCCCGTACGCCGTGAACCTATCAGATCGCTCAAGCTATGTATCCATCTACCGTTTCACGCATCTCGCCAATCTCTCCGAGGTCACACAAGGATCAACCCGCAAACGCATACAACCAATACGATATACAGTCAGGACTTCCAACGGTTCACGCTCGTCAGCCCGATTCGATAACAGATTCTCATCTACAAACAGGTCATGCTCATACAGTATCAGGAACCGGTTCCGGCGCTGTGCTTGGTCTACCCAGTACAATCGATCCTTGCCTTCTCGGCGAGTTTGACTTGGCGCAGTTCAATCTCAACGAAGACTGCAACGATGATATGTTCGGTCTAGACTTCGACTGGATACCTAATAATGGCCTTGATGTGCCCATGGATGAGGTGCCTTTGAACGGGGTCGACGCAGGTGCATTCCAACTCGGTGACTCCTCTCAGGAATACCAAACTGGCCAAGGATTCGTATCTGCGCTTGTGCAAGATAAGACCAATGATCAATCACATCAGTTGGTCAACCAGAATGAGGTTGGACAAGTGTCGACTGATTTGGTTCCCGTAGAGCCGCATGGCTACCAGCCTACTGACCCTACCTATGACTTCTCGCAGGATCTTGGTCTCTGGGATACTGACTTCCAGATGCCATCTCAGTTCTTAGACACCACTCCCGGCTTCTCAGCATTTCCAGGTGGCAACGCGTTCATGCCGGACATGACGCAATACCCTGTTGCTCCCCAGCCTTCACAGGCATATCCTGACCCATTCACTTCAATATACCCTGTTCAGCCGTACTACCAACCGACACAACAGCCGTATCCGCAACAGCACACTGGATACGTGGCGATGCCTACCGAACAGTATACTGGATCACATCAATTCAACAAAATCTTACCTTCAAGCTCTCGCCAATCCAGTCGCCCTGCACCGCAATTACCCAAACGTAAACGTACTCAATCTGGCTTCGGATCTGATGATGACGCTTATGTCGCCAAGCAACCTCCCAGGCAGCTTACACATCGAACCCGATCATCAGTAGATACCCGTCACGATTCTAACGTTTCATGCGCGAGCTCGGTCAGCAAACCGGTCAAAGTAGCTGTCGTGCGAGCAGGAGAGAAGCCAAAGAAATGCGACGACAAGCCCTGGGTCCGCGTTAACAACACGACTAGGGGCGAAACCACACGCACCGCTCGCATCAACCAACACGCAGAAGAAGGTCGCAAATACAAGACCAAGCCTCTTCCTCACGGCAACTGGTCATCATCATCGGGGTTCAAATTTGAGTACAGCCAAAACAATGGCATGCACGAATTCAAGAAGCGCACCATGACGGCCCGCGAGATTCATGAGTACATCACGCAGTATCCCGGCGACAATCTGCGCATTTGGATCCAGCCCGTAGCTTCAGACTCCGCCCGTCGCTATGCTTCTGCATCTCACAGCCACTGTCGCTTCGACGCATGCCCAATGCGTGTGTACACCGGCAAAGGCACAGCTGAAGTTGGCAACTACCGTGTCGCATTCGACGAAAAGCATCGGACTTACGGTACCGGCGTGGTTGATCCGTACGACTGCGTGGGCTTCGCTCATCTATACTGTATGGAGCGCTTCCTAGACTTTGCCTACATCTGCCAGGTAGCTAACGTCAAGGTCGATCAGCGTGTAGGCATGGAGAAAGAGCCAAAAGGCCATTTCGCATCCGCGTTCGGCTCGAAGCATCATTACGAAGCGGCGTTGGCTAGCAAGTTCATTGAAGCTGCTAGCAAAGGCCGATTAGGTGATACCCACGAGTTCTCTGACTACCCTGTCCATGAACACTACAAGGGCGGTCATCCTAAGCCTCACGAACGCACGCTCATCTACGCACTCTACGGCATGAACATGAAGCACCGCGCGAAGTCACAGATGAAACAGTTCATCCTCCAACGCAAGATCCGCCCCGGCTCTTTCCCCGTTCACCGCGGTGACATGGAGGTTAAGCTTGTTGACAAGAAGATCGAGAAAATGGATGTATACATTGACTACAAACGGGAGGGATCAAAAAAGGAGTTCGACTACTCAGCCTACTACGACCTCCTTCATCCGGAGATCAACCAGCGCATCGCGGAAATGGAGAAGAAGCGCGATGAATTCATCAAAGAAGACGAAGCGGGTATTGGTGGTAAGCGCAAAACACCGCGTCGGACTATTACTTTCGCGGACTCGGATGATGAACGACAGGCTCCATCGCGGAAGCGTTCGCGGTCTAAGAAACGTCAGCCTACTGATAGCGATTCATCTGATGACGAGCGTCCGGCACTCAAACGCACGTCTACGGCACGATCTACGGGACGTATAACCGCTCTCTCCGACTCCGAGGACTCTGACTCCTTCGAGAAACTCATCAACGGCCCCAAACCCCGTCAAGGTTCCCGCGCAGGCCTCCGCAAGAAACAGCGCATCAACTACTCGGAACCCGCCGACCTCCCCGTGCAATCTGCCGCGCCTCCTCCGTCTAGCGATTTCATGGCCAACTACGCCCCCGCAGTCCCCTTCGACGACCGCAAACAAAGTCTCAGCGCCTTCTTCCCCGCTAACAACGATCCTTCTTGGTCTAATCTAGATCTCGATGAGTTTTCTATCGAGGGCATGGATGATGTGTGTATGGATGAGGAGGCTGTTGATGCGCTGATCGGTAATAATGCGAAGTATCGGAGGCAGAGTTCTACGTTTGACAGTGGGCCGTGGGCGTCTGGGAGGACGGCGAGTTTTAATGCACAGCCCGTGTCTGGGAGTAGGGAGTTTAGGAGGGAGGATGCGCCGAGTTGTGTTGCGGAGAGGGGAGTTGTGGAGGACGGTGGAGATGGATCAGTGGGAGTGATGAGGAGGAGTAAGAGGTTGGCTGGGAAGAGTACGCCCGCTTCCTCTGTGACCGGTTAGTTTAGGTAGTCAACATGCTCGGGTCAAAACAAGATGGAGATATCTGTAATCCGAGGTGGAGTTGG